GTGCAAAGTGTTGTAAGACGTGCAACTTGGGATGTTTGTTGAAGTTGCAATTGCAACAAAATGGTACCCCTCTAATCTAGTTCCAAATGTAACAAGTTTGTTTTTGATGTGAAATTGCAAGGAATGATAACCGAGGTCTCCTTCATCTCTGCAGCTCTGTCTTGTGCTTCTCGCTGACAAGACTTCCTGAAGATCTATAAATACCAGAGGAAGCCTTTCTCCGTTGTGATGTTGGCATTTGATGTTGCATTCAAAATGCAATGGTGGGATCTCCTTAATGTTATTTCTCCCTCTTTTCTAATAGGGTAAAAGATGTCCTCTTGTCCAGGATACTGCAACCAAGTTATTTTATTAAGTTAATACTGTGATCAGGTATTTTCTAAAGCTATGCTGTGTCCATTCTTTGCCTCCTACTCATTATTAGAAATGCTAAGTAAATTGTAAACTTTTTTTTTAATGGTTTGCTTTCTTTTTAACAACAATTCCCTGAGATTCTGTGACATAAAGGGCATGGATATAGAAGAATATATTTGTATTGTCCTTTGAGAGCACTTAAACGTAATATTTTTTTCTACAACTGCATGACTGCAGTTCTCGGCTGCTTTTTTGCCGTTGCGCTCAAGTGACCTTGAGTTTGTTAAAGTGCCCTCATCAACAAATTATAGCAAAATGTTGAGGAATTGTGGACATTGTTTTGTCATTATTGTCCATTTATTGGTTGAATGATCAAATCCAGACAGCCTTTATTGACTGCACTGTGCTAGATAATGTTTGGGCCCCAGGGTAATTTATGGAATTACTGAAAATGTGTGTTTCAGAAGACAGGCTATCACCATTACTTTCCAATCAAGTGCCATTTCTTGCGTAGCAGTGTAAAATACTTTTACTTGCGCGCTAATGATTGGTGACATTTTAATCGGTTGGCTTAGTCACAACGGTGCACCCACTTAATTTTTCTTTGATGTGGCTTCTGAGTTTGTTTTTTTTTTTCCCCCTCTTTGATTTGATCAAGATAAACCAAAATATCCAATGAGTAAGATTAGGAGTGTATCTATTACATTTACACAGAACCTAAAGAACAAATGTGTGCCTTCCTAAAAGGTAAAGCAGACTCCCCCTTCTGAATATGGACACACAGCTCAGAGCTGGCCTTTGACCTGAGGAAGGTTAAAGAAATAAAGAGAAAACCTTTCCAACTTGACCACAGTCTTTGTGGAATGTGGAAGATTCTAGAAACCTACTTTCCCTTCACGTCTGACTGATACCATCCAACACCATGAAACTGGTGTATCTATTTTTTTTACTTTTCTGTGACTTCCAAGTGGTTTTAATCATGATTCTTTTAACTTTACAAAAGTTAATGTGTTCAACGGATAGTAAGTTCGTATATTTCTTGGAATAAGGAACTGTAAAAATCCTTCTTTGTATTTCTGTTCTTACTAGTAACTGCAGTGATGAAACAGCAGTATTTTGCTGAATACAGCTTTTTTCTTTTAGAATTACTGTAATAAGGGTTTCTAAATGATTAGAACATGACTTGCCAGACACTATTAATTGTGAAACATTAGACGTTAAGCTACTACAGATGTGGAGCTTGCATGCTGGTACTAATGAATGTGTTCAAAAAGGAGTTGAGAGCAGGGGTGTCATCCTGATCTAGGATGAGAAGAAGCAGAAGTGGGTGGGGATATTTCCTCCAAGGATGTTTGGTAACTCTGACTAATGTTCTCAGAATTCGCTTAATTCAGGGATGCGAATTGAGGTGTGACCAAGCAGTTTGATCTGATCAAACATCTGACTGTAAACCTTAATCTGCTATTTCTACATGGACAAATTGCTTGGAAGATGGCCCCTCTAGTGATCTTCATGTAGTGTTACAGTATACTGTATATTGAGTAGCTTCAGTATAATATATAATATGCTGTTATCCTTTGCTCAGAGAGGCCTTCTGTGGAGATCTCCCAGTCAGTGTTCTCCTAAAACTGGTAATCTGTCTCGGAGTTGAGCTCCTGGAGCTAATAATAAGCAATAGTGCCTAAAGCTAGTGTGTTTAAAAGGCAAAAAATGTTTCCTATTCTGTGAAGTTGAGCCTCCTTATTTATTTATATATATGTATATATGTAATGTTTGCAGCTCTGCATCTGCTGGTATTCCAACACACACACTGCCAGGTACTTCCAGCTACAGAGACACATCCCAGACGGTGGAAGATCCCCCTACAGCAAAAGCCTAAGCCTTCTGCTTCCAATGAGGTGGCATCAACATCTGTTACAGGTAGCTGAGGGTCAATTAATGTTTGTTTCCACGAAACAATCATTATTTGCAAATAAATACTATGTCTGTTTTACTGCAGTGAAATTCCATTGCCTTTGCATTCTCTGAGTAAAAAGTAGCCTGTGCTCATGTGATACAAGGCTATGTAGATGTCCGATTATGCACTTGCATCAGACTTTCCCCTGATAAATTGGAATGGGATCATGCTTTATTTGGAAGAAAACGGCATGGGTATTGGTTTTTGCAAAGAAATACAGCTGGTTGAGTACAGCAGATGTTTTCTCAGTCATAATTCCTTGAAACTGTACTCTTTGTAAGTTATATTGCTCATTTTATGATGATATAAGGTACATTTCTCTTACTTTTTTCTTTTAAAACAAATTTCCCAAATAGTTGATTTGAATTGACTCGATGGAAGTTCTGTTTTTGCAGAAGACCTAACAGGGTGCATAGTCTATAAACCTAAGTGCACCCAATATATATAGTATACCCCATGCATTCAGATGACTTTAGAGGTCAGCTATAAAACCTATTATTCTAACAAAGCTGTTTTTCAATTTTATCCTTTTGGGGGGGGGGATCAGTGAGATTTTATAAAAAGTGATTTTGAAAATTTTTGCTCGGCACTTGGGCAGAAAAATCTGAGATGATCTTAATGATCCCTTGATTACTCTGTTGGACATTCCAGTCTTTCCCGATGAGTGAACTCAATACCGGCACAGCAATGCCCACAGTACTTCTGTTTGGCTCATTGTGTGCTACATTGCTGAGGGAACTCGTTGCTTTCTCTGTAGCAGAGTCACTCAGTTCCATATCAACCCATTACTGGCAGATCGTCCAAGGTTTCTAATTTCACAGAGAAACCTGGAGAGTTAAGGGCTCCATATGCTTCTGATTGAAATGGGCTTTGTAATCAGATTCCTTAAGTAGAGTTTAGACACAGGATTTAAAATGGAAGTCAGATTAGTGCTGTGTACTTGATCTGACAATTTAATCTAAACATTTCTGGCTTCTGAGGATGATTTCAGAATGCCAGCCATAAACTGAAAGACCAGTTTTGCAATACCAAACTTCCCCACTCTCTTCTTAGCCCAACCCTTCTTTTCTTTTAGAATGCTGTGCCTGTTTTTCAGAGAAACCAACTAGGACAACCACTCACCAAATCAACCTGACATAATGTGGCATATGCAGGAGCTAATATATTGTTTTCTGTTCATATTTTGCAAGATGTAATCAAAACATGCAGCATTGAGTTTAATCATTAATGCATGGTCATTTCAGCAAATTGCTGGAAAACCTGGTTGTTCTTTGTATCCCAGTCATTACTGTTTACAATCACCTAGAGACAAGGGATAAAAACAAGACTCAAAGCTTGGATGTTCTTTGGAAAGTGCCACCCCCATCCAGTTTTCAAAAAACAATCTCCACACACCAATGTGATAGGATTTTATGGAATGGAATTGGGCGGACAAAAACATATGTTATGCGTAATAGCACTGAAAGACTTTATTTTATGACCTTTTTAACATATGTAAATTTGGGAAATGCAAAATTTTGCAAAGGATATAGGTCAAAGGCTGATGTAGGAAAACTATTGATTTTACTAATAAGGCAATAGTTCATAAATAGTTATAATTAATTGGAACGTCCAAAACAATTACACTGTCTCAAAAAGCCATTAGTTTGCTCTTCCTAAACAATTCCCAGTACAATGGATGAAAAAAGTTGATTTAACCCTTACAACGAGAATGTGGACCTCAGCCTGTATGTTATGCTGTATTACTACTGTGTTGTAAACGTGGGCTGCACAGCTCATAAACACTTGATGATATAATTCCGTCTTGAATACGGCCCCTGCATAATGGGATCTATTCTCAGACCATTGAGGTTGTATTGTAGGTTTGTTGTATTGTGAATTGTGGATGGTGTTACTTGTGTTTTCTTGTGTTTTTGTCTTTTTTTAGTCAAAAGTCCTGAAAAGAATAGGTTGTAAACTTAATTTCAATTAATATATTGGTACAAAGCCCATTTAGGATTTCTGCATGAGTGAATCTTTGTGGGTGCCCATTGATGGGATGGCCTGCCAGGTTAGGCACCAACTCACCACAACCCTCTGTTGGACTAAGCAGATATTGAAAATGAGTTGAAGTTATAGTTATTACTCTTTAAAAAAACATTCCTGAATATGGGATATTCACATATCCAAAATGCGTATGCTTTAAATAAACCGATGTTGATATCATTTCTGCTATTGTCCGCTTTTGGTATTCATAACCATACAATTACAATAGTGCAATGAACACTGTCCCATAAAAAAATACTCGTTTAATTGAAATAAAAGTCAGAGGTTACTTCTTGTGCTGTAACACGATTTTTCTGCTCAGAGCCAGCTAGCCATCGTCGAAGCAGCTCGTACAGTACGTTTAGAAACACTCATTTACAAACGTGGCCTGTGTCTATTTTTCTTTCTCTGCTTTTATGAACGACATCTCCCATAATACACTGCGTCCCAGTAACCTTGGCAACTGCCTGATCGCGAGTGTGCAGAGACAGCAGCACAATGCGCACTGAAAAGTTGCATTAAGAAGGTAAGACAGGTTTTTATTGTCATTTCAATTATTTTATTGTTTTTTTGACTAGTTTGTTTCCTGCTATACGGTGGAGATGGTGGTGAATAGGAGGTATTTATTTTAAACAAAAAACAAAATGTTTAGTATTGTGCGGTTAACCTCCATATACACCTGTACTGCAACACCGGACTCGAGAAGTATCATAAGCAACACAGCAAGACCGACAATTTTAATGCGATTATTTTGTTTGGCTCAGCAACATGCATTTCGTTGTGTCGGACAAACGGTAGGTAAATTAACATTTTTAACTTTTTTTTTTTCCTGCCATACACGTACTGTTCAAAAACACGTGCGATGTACGCATATAAATCCATATACCCATCGACACCTCTGGGATTTTCCAGAATTCGCATTGGTATTTGCATTTGTGATGGGTTTAAAAAAAATAAGAGAATATCACATGAAATGTGATCATATCGTAGTGTCACGTCTTCCCTGCAGTGAGTTGCGGTGCGGTGAACGCCTGCTTCCAGAGGCTGATGTCGACACACGTCAGGGGGCGTGTTGGTGGGTTGTCCAGGCTGGCTTGAGCTGAACCCTGGCTCATCAGAAGGTAGGAGAGGGCTGTCCTCGTGTGCCGGTAACATGGGGTGTCCCGCGTGGGTTTGGCTTGGTTTGACTCGGGTTCTGGTGGGTGGGGTCAAGTTAAATATCTAGGAAGCGATGTTACAGGTGGAAGGCCAGTGTGTCCACAGGTGTGCAGTCCCGTTGGGTTCTTACCGAGCTGAATCAGCCCGCTGTTGTGTTGTTTTTTTGGGGGGGACAAATTTAACAGTGTCTCCCAGCTCTTCAGGCACTGCTGCTGTAGAGAGACCTAGAGAAAACCTGCAGACAGAGCCTCCAAGGAGCAGAGATCTGACTGCCCTTGAGCCAAGATTTACATTTCAATAATTTCCATAATAATGGAACAGTTCCGATTTGCCAAAACGAATTTCAGCCGTAATTTTTTTTAATCAAGAGATGATGTACAGTTTTCAAAACTGTCAGTGTTGCTCTCCTCTCGTGCATGCCTGTCGGGTGTGAGCAATGCCCACCCTTGTCTTTGCAGTGACCATCAGAGTTCCACTTCCTATAGACAACTGGCCCATTGCAACAGTGTCATCTTCCTTTGCTTGTAAGGGTATTTCCCAAGGGTGGCAGCAGCACAGAGTGTCCAACCAAACTCAGGATTTGCTGATGCTGTGGTTCCAGATTCCAGAATAAACTGCTTATTCTTTCCTGCCTTGGGTGTCTGTTTCATTATGTCGAGGTTTTGCTTGTGCAAATGTGTATGAATTGTGGCTCTCCCCGTGAGCAGTATATGATAACACTGCTGCTTGTAACTATTTGCAGCGTAAAACAAAAAAAATCCCTGCTTGATTTTTGGTCACACTTGTTTGAACTATTGTCATCGGACTCTGGGCAGTCATCACAAGTCCTGCTTGCAAATGTAATTGATTCCGATTACGTCCTATAAAGGTCTTCCATGGCAAGGGTTTTTAAGCAAGTGTCTGAGGAACCCCGAGAGTGGTCAGATTCCAGAGTGTTAATGGGGTCCCCTGGGGAAAAAAACCCAACAAGTTTCTTGTTGGACAACAGCGGTGAATAAAATCAGTTCTACAGTGGCTCTCCTTTGACAAATTAGCTTTTTTTTCTAAGAAAAAAAAGTGTAGTTACTAGAGACTAGCAGCCTTATTTTAAATAATGGAATCTTTTGTTATTTTTAAATAACGGAATAACTTGTTCATTAAAAATAGTCCAGGTATTTCCAAACAGCAGATTCCTCCTGAGCTCTCCTCCTGTACAGGAGCGGTTCCGATTGAAAATAATATGAAACGCTGATTTTTATTTCCATTTTGATTGGCGGACTAGCTAGTTTAATTTACCAGAATACATGCGTTCATCACTTCACTCTGATGAGCTCGTATTTGGCATATTGTTCTAGTCTCGGATGCAGTTGGTTTTCTCCGCTGCACCCTGGTCCGTTTCTGAATACAGCACATAGAGTAAGGTAACCTGAGAAGACAGACCGCCGAGGTTTTTAGGCAGAAGTAGTGTTGACATTTCTGTGATACCTAAACCGGCATGTTACGTTTTGGTATAGCTGTGCTGCCTAAACGGGCATCGCTGAAGTTTTCTATATATGTCCAGAACAACTATGTACTTTGTGATAGTACATTCCTTACTGACCGTAGCATTTTACAGCTTAAATCCTGCAAATGTATTAAGGCCGCTCCGGCCTTTTGCGGAATCCGCTGCCGTCCGTGCGTGTGTTACACTTGTTTTCCAGGAAACCCCTTTCGGATCGCTTCAGTAAAAAAAACCCTTTTTGGTTCTTTTAAGTGACACTTACTGTAGTGCCTCTCATTGCGAGCTACCTCATGGGCATTAAGGAAAACGTGTCTTGCGTATTGTTGCTGGGTGCGTGAAACTAACGCTTTACCTGCGCTGTCATTGAGGTGACAAGTGTGGACTTGCGGTGTAACTAGTTCCCTGCACCGCTCGCCCTGATGTAGGCATTGTGAGTTAAGCCTAATTTATACTAACGGGAGGTTAATTCTGAAGCACACCCTGATCCATCCATAACTGGATCATAGAGGAGAAACAATCGCTTTTTTTTTTTTGCGCGGCGCCGGAGTAGCAGGCGAGCTTGGCGCTCCGGACTGAAACTAGCTTACACATTCACTCAGCTGGCCGAGAGGGCCGGTGGGACATGGCCCAATAACTATGTCCCCTCGCGTCCGCCTTGAAGAAATGGGCAAAGAAAGAGGAAGGGAACGCAGCCCGGGAGAGTAATGTGTGTGTGTGTGGGGGACATCCGATATCCACCACCGTGAACAGGCTGCACACGCCCAGCACACGGTCTTGTTTTGGAGTCCGGGCAGTACAGTCGCGTACTGTCGAGCAGAGGAGGGGCCGAAGGCGGAGGAGGGGTTTTCCTCGCCATCCGAGGCCGGCGAACAGCGATGAAGGCAGATTTCAGTGAAAGAAAGGAGGGGGCGGTAAAACAGAGGGGAGGTTCCGCTTTTTAAAAGGGCTGAGTGATGTAACTTCGGAGCACGCTGTCATAATCGAGGAGCGCTCCGCAGCCGCGCAAGAAGGTGACCGGAGGGTCCAGTTTAATGGTAAGGGCTCACGAATCTAACTCTTTCAGGACGGACCTAACAGTCATCGGACACTAGTCTGTGTCTTGAAACGCCTGAAAATATGTAGTGATCTTTTTATCCAGGACTTAACCCCTCAAATACCAGTTGCAGAACTACCTTGAACTTTAACATTTCCGTCGTATATGTAAGAATACGTGCATGCACGTTTAGTTGTTATTAATGTGTTCAATAATATCCTTGCAGGCGTTACGTAGTTACTAAGGAACGCCCGATTAACACGGTTTTGTTTAGAAATTACACATTGTTACATTTCATAAGGTGTTTCTTTTTTTCTTTGGAGTATAAACATCCTTTTGCGCCTTAAATGGATCCGAGTTAGCTACAGTTCCGCAGCGTATTGCCAAATCTACGCCAGCGATCCGATGTCTCACGAATGACCTGGAAAATAAACTTTACAAGCCTGCACCGCCTGAGTAATTTCGTGCGGTTTAGCAGTGTGCTACGCGTGTTGTAATGGATGTACTTGATTTTATTTTAGTTTTATTTCTTTGATAATGGGTGCCCCTGTTCTGAAGTAGACTACAGCTCCAGCCCCTGTCATTTATAGTGGTGCTGTAGTGGACGAAACACGTGGCAGCTGCTGCCTGTCGAGATGTGTTGTGCTTGAGATGATCAGCCATCGGGGCCCCAGCGAGGAAGTGCTGTATTGCAGGCTAGTTCTGCCCTGTTGCTGGTGCAGACGGCCGCAGGGGTACTGTGGAGCACAAATTACACATAAAGTGAAATGGCCAACACTGCCTGTTAATCTCCTGTTGAGCGTTTTACATCATTGTACAACAGGAACTGTATTTACAGCATATCTCTATGCATAAGAAAGGGGATCAGAGAGGACTTGTTTTTTTAAAGTACACAGATATGTGTGGTAACATCACGTATACGTTTACAGAACTTTAATGCTTTTATTTTAGTATCGGTGAGAAAATGAACGTAATGTCTGCATGTGGATTAGAAGAACTCAGCTTTGTGATACTGACAAAATAAATGGAACATTGGGTGTTAAGTTGGCACACCGCAAGCTGAGGGACACCCCTTCTGAATCCACCTCACACAGGCCTGGGAGCTCCTATCCACACGCTCCTGGTGGCATAGCCTGGGTTCGACTGGGCAATCCCCATTCCACAGGGGGCACTCTGAACTGAGGTTTTACTAACCTGGCCACTGGCCTTCAAAAACAAAATGCTACATTGTTATGCCTGAAAAAATAAACATCACATAAAGGTACAGCAATTGCTTGAGTCCTGGCTATTAAACTTTGCCATCTTTACTGGTACTGCTAGAATTGTTTTTTCCAGTGCCAGTTTAGGACACTTGTTATGAGCACCTTTAACCTTGAATGCCTGACAAGAATACACGGACAAAATGTCTCTGTGAAATGTTTGCTGTTATTTACAGTAAAGTGGGATCTCACACCTGCATAGGAGCCAACAGGAATGATAACTGAACAGTGAAGCACAAACCAGAGGATACAAGTGGGAAACTGTGTGCATGTGCGTTTTAAACCAAGAATAGGAGGAACACCTAACGCAGTGGTTCCCAGTTCGGGGCCTGGTGACCCACACACCTGCTGGCTTTCATTCCTGCCCACTTTCATTAGATCAGTGAAGGCTTAATTGATCTAAGACATGGGAATATTTGCATTTCGTTTCTAGTCACAAGGATTTTATTTAACTTACAACATACAGTGGTTAAAGCTTTAACATGCTTAAGAGCTGGGAAGTAACAAACTAACAGTTCACATTATTATTATTATTATTATTATTATTATTATTATTATTATTATTATTATTATTTTGTAACTGATCGCTCACCTGGAACAAAAACCAACAGGTGTTTGAGCCACTAGGACCAGGATTGGGATCCACAGACCTAAAGGGTTGTGGGAACAAGCTATCCAGCCGTGTTGTTAAAGGTGATGAAACAAGATTGGATCAAGTGAAATAGAAAGTATTGTCTCACAAATACAGTGGAATGCACTTTCAGTTTGTAGCTTTAGAGAAAAGTTGGATGGCTACATCTCTTTTTAAGGAAACTGTGTGTTTGTCTTATTTAGCCTTGATGTTTAGAGACCTTGAGAGAGATTTTTTTTTTGTCTTTCCAAATACCAGTGGGGGCAGCATGGAGCAGTAATTAGAGCCGAGCTCATTAGCAGAAAGATGTGGGTTCAAGTCCTTATTGTTTGTCCTCTTATTGTACTGCCTACAGTAACTGGGGAGTAGCATTATTGAGGGTTTGGTCTGTGATAGACTACAGTCTCATCTAGGGGGGCCCTGTGCTCCCGGTTTTCTTGAAGCTAAAGAAACTGGACAAGTTTTACCTCCATTGGGCCAGCAGGCTCAAAAGGTTTTTAACCTCTTTGAAAACAACCAGCTTAATTAATATGACTTGCCAAAATGATTACATCAGCACT